CTTACCTGCCTGTATCGTGCAGTACGTTATCAAACTACATCAGCCTTACCTGCCTGTATCGTGCAGTACTTTATCAAAATGAAATAGAATACCACCTACTCTGTAGTTGTTCATACTTAGTCAGTATGATATCGTGGTAGAATACAACCCACGTCTCACTTGCGTTTTTCCTACGTGATTATTGTGTATTTGTGAAAAGTATTATAATGAGAGAGAGTGTAATGCGTTTATGAACCAGAGTTTTATATGTTTTGTACATAAGGTTGTATATAGTGTAATTAAACTTGCTTCTCTTGTTCCTATTAGGATTGGTAATTCGTTCATCCCGTTACACATCTTTATTCAACGTTGAAAATGGATACTAGAACATTATGACACCTTTCCATAAATAAATGTAAATAACAAAACCCTGGGTCAAAATTCAGCATTGGAAATTGACCCGAAAAAATTATGTACTCCTCCTTATTCTATTGTCATAATGGTCCCAGGTCCAAATTCAACGTTGAAATTGGACCCAAGAAAACGATGACACCATCCGATATCAAATGTTTAACATTGAAGATGGATCCCAGAAAAAATAACATCTGTTCATATTCAACGGTCCAAACATTTTTCCGTCTAGAACATGCATCTTGCACACAGGGGAGGCCGTCCTTAAATGACCTTAGCTGTTAATAGGACGTTAAACAAAATCAAACAAACAAACAAAAGAACTCAATGTTACAATACTATGGTGTAAATATAAACTAGGAAGAAAAATACGTACAAATACCTAAGGAATCTGAAATGTACAGTACAAATCATATGAAATATAAAAAAATCCCCAATTTAAGCAGCAAATTCAGAATTGAAGTTGGATTTTTTTTTATGAATAGTTTAAATATATAAACGCACGGGACGTTTCGCCTATCGATAGAGAGCGCATATACACTGTGTCGAATAGGTTACTGGTAGGGTTAGGGTAGATCTAGCCCCCGGGACTCCCGTTATGTCGATACAGTGTGTATAAATGTACTCTCTATCGATAGGCGAAACGTCCCAGGTCGACTGACGTAAGAAATATACAATTTCGTCACAGCATTGTACAGGTAAACAATACAAATATCGCTCAATAAGTCATAGTTTGGCAAAGGGACTAGTCGGTCTTGAAACGTTGCGATACGTTCAACATGTACATTGTTTGTGTATTACGTTAAACTTTGATATTAAATTTCAAAACTGATAAATCTTATTAGAATTTTTAAGCTTACATGTAATTTATTAAATGCACTTTTGACCTATGTTTACCCAGGGACAGTATATACTTCACTATACGTCCCTGGTTTACCTTTGCAGAGAGAAAAAACAACTTAATACCTTAAATACACTATTGATCTGTGTTAACCTTTGCGGAGAAGATAAAATCTAAACTTAATCTATTAAATACAATATTGGTCTATTTTTACCTTTGTATAGTAAACTAATCATTATGATTTTAACTCTAGTTTGCCTCCAAGTCAGTGCTTGAGGAAATATAATACTTATTTGCAAAATCAAAGGCGATTCAACCGGGGAAAGAACTACAGTCCTTTCAACTTCTTTATTAAATAACAGGAATCCAGTCGGTATCAAGCGGGATTGGCCGAACAGGTATCTTAAGATGTTACAAAAATATCCCCGAAACTATGTATTGAATATATGATACATCATGGTCAATATACGTGTAAGGTATTTGTGATGATTGTAGATTATCCTCGTATGGCACAATCTACAGAGTTTACATAGTGGAAGGTAAAACACAGGGTTTACAAAGAACACTGTATGATCTATGTTTAAAATACTCTCGAAACGAATTAATGACTATCCCAAAATCATTAATCACTGAAGGTTTAAAATTGAACATAACTTGGACCATATAAGCATTTATAATAACACATTTTGACTATGCTGTATATTTCCAGAACAGGTTATGTTAGTCTGCAAATATTTAAACTGGAAGATGGTAGGGCATAACATGTGAAAATATAATTTGTACATTATGTAACTTACAGGAGGTTGGAGATGAATTTCACTGTATGTTTTATTGTTACAACTTCTCATTACAGAATGTTCTGTCCAGGTGCATAATCTCACAAATCATTGTAAATTAAAAAACATGTGTCAGTTTTCGTTTGTGATCAAAGGGACACGCTGTCCCCCTGGTTACTACAAGTCATCGTAAACCTGTCCATTCAGGCTGTCTATTACGTCATTATTTAAAACGTCATATTTCTCCGAACTTCTAAAGTTTATGAAACTATAAAATTTTCATTTTTTTTACATGTTTTTTAGGACTTATTGGAAAACTTGAATTAAATGGATTTGTACCATATCTAGTCGTTTTACGGTGCCTCACCAATAAGCATTTATTTTTGCAAAATTGCTGTATTTGAAAAGAAATATGATCGACCCGACCCCTTCGGAGATATTATGGGTCAAAGCGGGAGGGAGAATGACATGTTCTTTTTTTTTGTATAAATAAATACATTTTATGTTGAAGAAATATCAATGAAAATTTGAGTGAACATTCGCGATCAAGCTGATTTTGTCTGTATTTACGTTTCAATTACCTGAAAATTTTAAGTGTTATGATCCGAAATACTATTGATGATTTAGGGATATTGAAATAAAAGGGTACGCTTAGGAATATTGCACAGATATTGTCTTTCCCTGGCATTCCGTTAAACTATTATGTAACGAAACCAGAGATAATTTGCAAAATTAAAAAGAGTTTTAAGAAACGACAGTACATGTCCTACAGGTTTTTTTTAAGTCTCTAGCGAAAAGGACTACCGTACAATGACCTGACCAGCAGTGACGTCATCAGTCACCTATATACCATCATGCATTTCTGTCTTAACTGCAGGACAAGGGAACACTATAGGACCTAGTATGTATATAATTCCCTATTGGGTAATACAATGATAACACAAACTGCATTTATTAGACTCTTTTCAATGACTTATTCTTGTTTTGTTAACATTTTATTGATGTTATACAACCAAAATATATCTAAATACCTGATTTCATTATTGAATTTATTGGAACAAAGAAACGGAAGATATGTTATTGTACTGTCCCTCTTTTGACCTCTTATACGTCGCAGAGGTCGAATTCTATTCGAACATGGCAGCTTCTGACCTAATGACATCCAATAAACAGTGCCTATCGGTGAGGGGCCGTAAAACAGCCAAATATGGCACCCATCCCTTGTTTGTATTTCTAAGAAAGTGTTGGAGGAATCTTTTTTTTTTGTCCCTACATATGCATATGGATTTTAGGAACTGATGGGGAAACCAAGATGGCCGACAGGAAACTAAGAGTTTATTAGCGCTATTTTTCAGAAAGTACTGGAGTGATTTTCCTCAAATTTTGACATTTCACTTATTTTGTTACCACTATTTCTCAAGAAGTACTGGACAGATCTTTATCAAATTTCATTTTTTTTGATTGTCATAGGTCCCAAGTGAGGCATGTTTCATTTTTCGGTAAAATTATTTACTTATGTCTAGTCTAATTCCTTGATGAAATGATGAATATGCAACAAATGTTTTTCGAATACCGGACGGATTATATACTTGGACGGTCCCCAGTAGCCCACCCGGCCCCAGTTGTGGACCGCGTAGCTGTCTGACGCCGCTCACTTTCCTGGTAGCTACCGTTATTGTCGTAACACGAAGTTTCCCATTTTCAGCCAAGGACTCTACCGCAGTTGGAAAAAACCCTTATGAATAGCTTGAAGTTCACAAGGCTCATATATAAAAGAGAACAACTCGGCAAATGACACAAATTTAATTTAATTTGAAACAACTCACTTACCTGGTATGCACCGTAGGAAGCTATAAACTTATAATAGCCAGTTTCAATGCCGGACCATTAGTAGTAACTAGCGCTCGGAACTATCTGCAAGGTGTTCCGAAATAGACTTACAGAAATTGTGCTTCGCGGAAACATAATCCCGAATTTTTACACCCTTGCAATTACACTATACAGTATAACATCCCATATCACCTGTCTGATCGATGTAATACCTCCCATATCACCTATCTGATCGATGTAATACATCCTATATCACCTGTCTGATCGATGTAATACATCCGATATCACCTGTCTGATCGATGTAATACATCCCACATCACCTGTCTGATCGATGTAATACATCCCATATCTCCTGTCTGATCGATGTAATACATCCCACATCACCTGTTTGATCGATGTAAAACATCCCATACCACCTGTCTGATCGATGTAATACATCCCATATCTCCTGTCTGATCGATGTAATACATCCCACATCACCTGTTTGATCGATGTAAAACATCCCATACCACCTGTCTGATCGATGTAATACATCCCATATAACCTGTATGATCGATCTAATACATCCCATATCACCTGTCTGATCGATGAAATACATCCCATATCACCTATCTGATCGATGTAATACATCCCATATCACCTATCTGATCGATGTAATACATCCCATATCACCTATCTGATCGATGTAATAAATCCCATATCACCTGTCTGATCGATGTAATAAATCCCATATCACCTGTCTGATCGATGTAATAAATCCCATATCACCTGTCTGATCGATGTAATAAATCCCATATCACCTGTCTGATCGATGTAATACCTCCCATATCACCTGTCTGATCGATGTAATACATCCCACATCACCTGTTTGATCGATGTAATACATCCCATATCACCTGTCTGATCGATATTACGTCCCTTATCACCTGCCTGATCGCTGTTCATTTCATATATCCTTATTCTTTCTAGTATTCAAAATTCCTAAAACAATGTCTAGTTATCGATAAATTACGTCACATATCACCTGCCTTACATTATTTAACATAAGGCGCCACATCTATCTGTCTGATAAAGGACATAAACCCAAGGTCACGCTACATCTTGCTGAATTATGTGTAGCATCACGCGTGAGTGGACAGCGCGAGCCTTCTGTACAGCACCAACTTAGCGTATTGCTGCAGCCGTACCTTTAACGCGACGGAGCGATCACAGACGACACGCGTCGATTGTATACACGAGCTAACGTTACAGAGAGGTCAGTCACTGTCCGTCCCTCACAAGGCTAGCTACCCTCTCACGAGTCTCGACATACCGATACCCTGATACAACATGGCGACTGGCGTCCCCGTACAAGGCCACAGTGTCCGCAGCCCCTCTATATGTGTTGCTCTTTACTTTCAGGTTAACTGACAGCTGACAGTCCTAACCACAACCATGGAGTAATCGGCTAGACAACAGTTACTACACGCCCATGGATGGCCCTCGAACAGTGTTATCTACTCGACAGAAACTGCTTTACGTCCCCTGATCAACAGTTTCGTAATGCATAAGGCTGATAGTTGACAGGTCAGTTTCTACACCATTTTTGGATCGCTAAGCTGTTTGAGTGTTCTGTGCAAAGTCTGTATAAAATGAATAGCACATTGTTCCCCAGCATAAGGGAACCGGAAACGCTTCCTACTATAGACACCACAAGTGGTGCCCCACCTATGCTTTCTAACACTCCCGAGGAAGAGATGGTACGTGGGATTTGGATGGCGTGGTATGAATGTAACGTCACCGTTTTATCACAACCCTATCCTACGGACGGTAAGTCTCAGTAAACTTTATGTTTTCCTGTCTATATGAGCCGCCGGCTTGGATTTGGGTCCTTAACTTCTAGCCAATGAAAAGGGAGAAAAAACGGGAATTCCGACAGACGTCATATTTCTATTCTATTTCTGTTTCGCGCGAAAACGGAAATCTCACTTGCTTTACAAGAATGTACGATATAACTTCTATTATTCCCAAAATATATGCATATAATTTACCTACTGAAACTAGAAGGCTATCTCTTAATTATTCAAACAATATTATACACTTTAGATATCAATAATTAATCAAATCGACTTAAATATCGAAGCGACAGGGATTTCCCGTTTTCTGGTGCGCACACTTTCGGTAGATTGTTTACATTCGCTACGGAAGATGACAGACACGTTTGCTGCGTTTAAACTTGTGACATGTAGCAGCCTATCTTCCACCCAATATAAAGTATATGAATTGATGTGATAGTGTGATAGCTGCAGAGCTAGACGATCAGTTCAGTCACTTCTTTCCCGTTTCCCGGATGCATAGGAACACTTAGTACTAATATTAATACCCGGCCTCCTCTGCCCCGATTAAAAAACATCTCGTCGTCAGAAAGCTACGTTATCGCAGCTAGGGAACACTCAGAAGAAAGAAAAGCATGCTGTAAAATATGAGCATGCATAGCAAAGATTTCAAGGTATGCAAACATTAAGAAAAATATGTGTATTTTTTATTGTATAATGAGATTATTGACCAATTGCTTTAAAAATCACATCATGAATCGAAATTGTGAAATGGGCAAAAAGGGTCCTCCTTAAAAGCGTCTTCAACCGACAACAAGCGTCTTCAAGTGACAACAAGCGTCGCCAGACACAATCTATAAAAATACCGAATGAAGTAAGAGACATCAGAAGATTTGTTGTTTATATGACTATAATACACCTTTTTAACAAATTTCAATTTGTTATTTGAAAAATTGACCGAGTTATGATGAATTAAATTTTACGATCTGCGGCGTGGCACGTGTGTTAAGTTAAGAAAGCGTCGCTAGACAATATCTTTAAAAACTCTTACTAAAGTAAGCGACATCAGAGGATGTGTTATGAATAAGACTTTTATTGATATATACTCCAATTTTTTGCTAGATATATGAATAAACGACCGAGTTATAATGAAATTATTTTTTACGTTTGGCGGCGTGGCAGACGTGTGTGAATTGAACTCCGCAGATCGTGAAGCGTCTTCGGACTTTACCATAAGATTAACATATAACGTTAACAACATCAGAAGATATGTTCATATGACTATGATTCACCTTTGTGCCAAACTTTTTACGATTGGCGCCGTTGCCCACGTGTATAAAGAAATCTACAGATCGTGAAGCGTCTGCAAACTATATCTCTAAAATTAATCTAAAAACGTACGCAACATCACACGATATGTTATTCATATGACTATAACACACTTTTATGCCAAATTTCAGTTTGATATTTGAAAAAATTGACCGAGTTATCGTGAGATAAATTTTACGTTGTATTACAGATATCACACATGTGTGCACACATATATATAAGGACTTCGCATAGCTGAACACGGCCGCCCCGGATAATATTGCTGTATAAACTGGTATAACATTTTGTTTGTTTTATTATTTGTTGTTTTCCTCATCAGAATGGATGATTTATTCCAGTTCCATGGATCATTGTTTTCAGTTCCATTCTTTGTAGAAGTTACCAGACCGCTACGGACTCTTTGTCCATAATATATGTTCGTGTGACTATATCTATGTAATGTGTTTGAAAATTAATAAATACTGCTTTTATATTTGTAGATTTATAAATAAACATAAGATAAAATCATAACTTTTAGTAAAGCTTAATGCTTAATACCGTCGGTATTTTCATATTTTTAGCGATTCCTGTGGTTTTGTTAACATGTCATTCGAAGAAGTAAAAACAAAAGTCGGTTTTCTAGCACACATGTTTTGGGAACTTTTAACTTTTAGAGCTTTATCAAATGTTGACAATTCCCGCAAGACAACTAAGCTTGCTTGAAATTTTGCGCGTGCGCGACCTGCTCATAGTCACCGGTACCAACGACCATGAAATCAGCTCGAGAACTTGTGAGGTTTGATGCTTGATAGTGTGATTCATTATTTCGAAATGGTTGTTTTTCAACCTTTCAGACAATCATTTTTCTACGTACACCATCCACTGACTGATGGATGGTATAAAGTACATAAACCCTGAATTCGATCGGGAACTTCATAAGTTTGAAACTTGATCATTTGATTCATTGATTTGCAATTGTTGTTTTTCAAACTTTTTTTGTAAAACACCCCGCGCTTGATCGTTGGTAAAATCTTTTCTGACCAGTATGTCTCTATACGTGTTCAATACGACTCATCAATCTTTTACGAAATAGTAATTGATTTTATATTAAATATCAATTTAGTAAACTTTTATTGTGTTATTTTGTCATAGACATTTTTTAGGAGCACCATCTGGTTTAAATATAAGTAATATAAACGTCTCATTGTTAACGTAATTGATACAATGTTTATACAGCAATATGATCCGGGCTGGCCGTGTGTGACTCACATTCAAAGTGGCGACGTAAAAGACAGTGACCACGTTTGCAACGTCAACACTCGCACCACTTTATTTCATGTACGGTCATTCCAAAACTCGCACAAATAAGTTTCATGTATGTCATGGTCATTACAAAGTGGTATAGATTTGTGAATACTGATTCAACTTGTTGTTGTAAACATATTTTTGTCAGAGCTATAACCGGAAGAAAACTGTAGAGATGTTAGTCTACAAAGTTCAAAAGTACAGAAGTATTATTTATACCATGGTCATATAGAACCCTATTTGTTTTACATTTCAGTATTTGTGTATGACTTAATAACATATTTAGTTATTTCCATTTAAATGCTCTGGAATTTTCTTTACAATCATGCGTAAACTTCTGGAGTGAAGCCAGACATAAGCAGTTAAAATTAATGTATATATGGTACCCGTCGGTTTCAATCTTAAAAGTAAGGTTAGAAATAATGACGTTGTAAGCGACGTCAGATGTCATATAGCCTACTTCTATGTATGACGTATCTTTAAAGTGGCGTCAAATCATCAAATATTGACGGACTGACATATTTTTTTATATCATTTTGATCAGAAATGTCTCTAGATTTCTAAATCATAAAAATCACAAAACTGATTTCTTACTACTTAAGGACCCTAATCCCAGCCGGCGGCTCATTATTATCAACTACCTCTGTATAACGTCACCGTCTTATCACAACACAATGCTAGTGACGCTAAGGCAGCGTACACATTGTGTCTTCTTTTCTATGACAACAATCTCTGTTTAACGGCACCGTCTTATCACAATCCTATTCTAGTGACGCTAACTCTACGTTAACTCTGTGTTGTCTTGTCTATCATAGCGTCACCGTCTCATCACTACTGGATCCTAGTGACGCTAACTCTACGTTAACTCTGTGTTGTCGTGTCTATAATAACGTCACCATCTCATCACAGCTCGATGCTAGTGACGCTATCTCTACGTAAACTCTGTGTTGTCTTGTCTATCATAGCGTCACCGTCTCATCACAACTCGATCCTAGTGACGCTAACTCTACGTTAACTCTGTGTTGTCTTGTCTATAATAACGTCACCATCTCATCACAACTCGATGCTAGTGACGCTAACTCTACGTAAACTCTGTGTTGTCTTGTCTATAATAGCGTCACCGTCTCATCACAACTCGATCCTAGTGACGCTAACTCTACGTAAACTCTGTGTTGTCTTGTCTATAATAGCGTCACCGTCTCAGCACAACTCGATCCTAGTGACGCTAACTCTACGTAAACTCTGTGTTTTCTTGTCTATCATAACCATTTCTTTATAACGTTGCCGTCTTATCACAAAATTACCCTTGTCACGGCAAGTTTACGTAAATTATGTGTCTTCTTGTCTAAAACAAGGACCTCTTGTCCATATTTATATGTTCACTGGACTTCTATTACCATTACCAGAGGAAATCGCGTTCATATAACTATTAATACAATTTTATCAGCGTCATTTTGAAGCTCCTCCTCTTACCTCGGATAACATGAGACAAACATTTTGGTGACGATATGCTATTCCAGGAATTCGTTTGCTCTTACGAAACAGACACTTCAATATTGAAAATATATTGGATTCTCTTTAATTACAGTGTAGGTCAATTATAAGTAAACATTTAAAATGTAAATATAGAGATTTAATTTTCTTTTAATGCTTGTGCCCTTATGAAATTGAGAAGGATACTATTGAATCCTTATATTAAAAGCACCTCTGTATAACGTCAATGTCATACATGTTTTCCTTTGGCGTTTCATTGGCACACCACCTCTTAATACTGTCAAAAGAAAGTATGATAAACCGTAACGGACACCTCGCTACGACGATCAACTCTACATATTGTAAATCTTCTCAACCGCGACATGCACCTGTTAATTACGATCACTACTGTTATCAATCACAATGAAATTATAATCAGTCGTGAAGGCCATCTGTCTATAACGATCACCTCCATATATCGTCATAGCAATATCCTGCTCGACCGCGCCTCAACATACCACCCATAAATGCAAATTAAACCGTAACATACACCTGTCTATAATGATCGCATAACAGTTTTTTTTAACTAATGATGTGTTAAGGTGCGTGTACTTTTAATATATTTTAACATTCATTCACGATTCATTTCTCTGTTGTTGACACTTGTATACAGATCGTATGCAAAATACTATATTTTGTATTTAAAAAAAATTGACATGCCGACCCTGTATATACCGGACACCTGTGTAAACCGGACAAATAGTTTGGTCCCGGTGACATCCGGTTGAGACAGGATATGTTGTATATATTAGCATAACACGTGCCGAGAGAAAAAATACTAACCAGAAAAAGACCCAGTGGTTCGGCCTGTACCGTCCGAGTCCATTGGCACGTAATTCCCTATAGACT